TGATTCCTTCATTATGTGCCTTGGATACAATAGACTTAATGCAAACCCTTGTGCTTATTTCAAGAGGTCTGGTGATAACAATTTTATTAAATTGATGTTGTATGTGGATGACATGTTGGTTGCAAGACCCAACAAAGATCATCTTGAAGAATTGAAGGCACAACTGGCTAGGGAATTTGAAATGAAGGACTTGGGATCAACAAACAAGATTCTAGGGATGCAAATTCACCGAGACAGAAGTAATAGGAAGATTTGGCTTTCACAAAAGAATTACTTGAAGAAGATCTTGTCATGATTCAACATGCAAGATTGTAAGCCAATTTCTACCCCTCTTCCTATTAACTTCAAATTATCCTCCAGTATGAGTCCTAACATTGAAGAAGAGAGGATGGAGGTGTCTCGAGTACCATATGCATCAACAGTGGGAAGTTTAATGTTCTCTATGATATGTACAAGACCAGACATTGCACGAGCAGTGGGAGTAGTTAGTCTGTACATGGCAAATCCAGGCAAAGAGGTTTGGAATACAGTAAAGAGGATCCTGAGATACATCAAAGGGACCTCAAATATTGTATTATATTACGGAGGATCAAACTTACTTATCAATGGGTATGTTGATTCTGACTATGCAAGGGATTTGGATAAAAACAAATCTACTACAGGATATGTGTTTAAAGTTGCTGGTGGAGCTGTAAGCTGGGTTTCAAAATTGTAGTCAGTTGTGGCTACATCCACAACAGAGGCAGAATATGTAGCAGTTACACAAGCTAGTAAAGAAGTAAGCTGGTTGAAGATGCTAATGGAGGAGCTTGGGCACAATCAAGAGTATGTCTCTCTATTTTGTGACAGTCAAAGTGCCTTGCATCTAACAAGGAATCCAACATTTCATTCAAGGACAAAGTACATATGAGTTCAGTACCATTTCATTCGTGAAAAGGTGGAAGAAGGGACAACATATATGCAGAAAATCCATACCAAAGACAACATAACAGATTTCATGACGAAGACGATCAATGTTGATAAATTTACTTGGTGTCGATCCTCTTGTGGTCTGTCAGAGACGTAAGAAACATAATGGTACAAGGTAGAAAGAATGGTGTAAAGATATGATTGTTCAAATCAAATCTTCAAGTGGGAGATTGTTGAAAATTGAGGCACATGCACCGAAATTGCATGAGAAAACAAAAAAAGTAAATGAATTATAAAAAAAAGGGCACCGAAAGGTGCAGATTTTGTTGAAACAAATGGTAAAATCCTAAATTTTAGTCATTGTAATTTAGGGCATTTATAAATTAATCCTTAAGCTTCAACTATAAATACTCTAACTCATTTAGCTTCAAAACCATCCCAAAGCATTATAGCTTTCTCCCAATACTAGAGAATTTAGAGAGTTTCTTGAGAGTTGTTTTCTCCTTTTTATCAAGAGAGAATTATCATTGTTTTCTCCTTGGTAGATCGAGAGAAGTTGTAATTCCTATTTTCTCATAGTGAAATTCTTTTACCGTTGCCCGTGGTTTTTACCCTATATTATTTAGGGGTTTTCCACGTAAATTTTGTGTCTTCTTTATCTTTATTTTTATTTTCTCAAATTATCAGTTACGATTTTGCTCTATCCGATAGCTGTCTTCCGCAACATGAAAAGGGTTGTTTTCCTGTGTATTGGGTTGGCAAGAAATTGAAGAGAGAAGGGATTGAAAGCAATCCTTTTTGTTTTGGTTTTATGGAGTTTGAGACAGTGAACTGATGAACAGGTTAGGCGATTGTAAATTTGCAACTGAGTAGATAACTTACGCATGGATATTAATTTTTTTTAACAATATGTACCAGGAGTACATAATTTCAGAAGTTTAACCTTAAGCTACATAATTTCAGAAGCTTAGCCTTAAGCTACAAAATTTCAGAAGCTTGGCCTTAAGCTTGGATATACCCTATGTGCTTTACATTAGAAGTGTCATCCAAGATAGTTCTTGTTGTTCTGCATGACTTTATTTCTTATAACAAGTTAATTCTAAATTCCGTTCTGCCTCACATAACTTCCCTTACCGTGGAATTCGAGCAGGGAACATTTCATGCGCGCGCTTCTTGTTTTAATAGTATCTTTTACGATTGTAGCTGGCCAGGAGAGATTAGAACATTCGAGGTTATCGATTTGAAGAAAATAATAATAGTGAAACGAATAGCTCAGTTGGTTCTAGCGTGTAGCCGTTAACCACAATGTTGGAGGTTCAAGTCCTTTTAAAGTTGAGATTCGTGTGTTAATTCAAAATCTTTTATCAGGATTTAATTGAAAATTTATAAAATATTGGGAGACTTGAGATACAATTTACAAAATAAAGGCTACTTTTATGAGTTTACCAACGTTATGGTTGGGATTCGAAGGCTGGGAGACAAGTGTTGAGCACATATTTTTTTTTGGTAAACAAAGAAAACCTAAACTAGTAAACGCCAGTGTTGGCTATCATGCGCACCTTCCATACCCGAAGCTGTTTCTTCTGCGGTTTTGCCATGGAATCTGCTACTGAATTTTCTTGTCTTGGTATGTGTTGGATCCTCACTCCTACTCTCATTTCAGCAATGTCTCAATATTCCTCAAGATTGCTACTCAAGCGTCTCTGGTTCGTATCCTTTGCACTGCCTTGGTGGTCTCCATACTCACCGTTTCCAGAATAATCTATGCCACCCAACTCTCATGGGCATAGCAGTCCCATGTAAAATCCCTAAAGCTCAGCTTCTACATCGTGCACTTTCTAAGAAACTTGAAGAATCCTATTAGCCAACCCCCTCATTATCTCTAACCACACTTCCACATGATGCGAGGCCAGATTCCCTTTGTCGAGCTCCGTCCGAGTTCACCTTGAGCCACCCATTTGGTGGAGGTTGCCACCGGTTGTTGCCTGTATTCATTCGTTCCATTAAAATGGTTCGAGTTGCGCCCCTAATCAAGAAATTGAAGAGAGAAGGGGTTGAAAGCAATCCTTGTTGTTTTGCTTTTTCAATTGTTTTTATGGAGTTTGAGACAGTGAACAGATGAACAGTTCTCTTCTAAAACACAATTTTCATTCCTGAACTTCTAACTCCATTTGGTTGTGTCTTAAAGCCTTGGGCTCATCGTCCTTTAGCAAATTATCGGATTTAAGTTTCTCGTCTCTTCACTTGCTGTTTTTGACTTCTCAAAATCTCCGAGTCATCAGAAACTGTTTCCTCAGGATTTGCATGTGAGCTAAGAAGGGCCAGACTGTCGCTTTTAACTCAGGTAAAGAAAGTTGAATCTGTTCACGTAACTCAGCAAGCAGTGTAGAGATTTCAATGGCCTCAGGTGATTTAGAAATAATGGATTCTTCAAAAGGTAAGAGCTGGTTGGTCCTTAATTTCTGGTTCATGTCTTGAAAGAGACTTCTTTGCAGGATGTCGGGTAAAATGGAATTAGAGGTAGAACTATGATCTTTGCTTGATTCTTTGAGCTTAAGAGAAATAGAGTTCTTTCCAGGATGATCGGGTAAAGAGAGCTCAATTTGATCCTTGGGGTTTTTTTCAACTGTGAGGCCAAATCAGAATTCTCCTCTCTGAAACTTTACCTCATCTTCCAACTCTTTTTGAACGGTATCGGTATTTTTACCCTGAAACCTTGAATTGTTGGCGGCGGCCTGTTTGTTTTATCTGTGACTCCTCCAATAAGATCTTCACTTATTTGATCTCCTTCTTCAAGCAATCACATTTTGTTCCCTACTGTGATTTCTGCAGCTTCCAAGACATCTTTAGATGAACCAGCATTACGCAGTGGAGAAGATGTGAAGCCTGATTCAAGTCTTCTTTGTTGTTATGAGAATGACTTGCAGAACCGGAGGAGTGGTTTGACCTCGAAGAGTCGTTAAAAGAGTAGGATCCAAAGAAAGAACTAGTTCGAAAACCAGGTGAAGGTTGAACCCCGTCATGAGGGGAGAAATTCTCTATATATAGGAACCATCCAAGGAATCAAAGCTATTAACTTGGTTCCGGAACAGACATGAGAAGGTTTCGTCAGCCTCGAAAAAGACGGTGCACAGCAAATTAATTGAAAATGCTTATCGTACTGAGGCAAAGTTCTAGACTGCTTGTTGCATATTTGCAATCTACCAAACCGTTTACTGTTTATGTGATTCATGTGTACTTTCAAGTGAGTTTGAGTGTCTTAGCTATGTTCAGATAAAATTACAGAATTAGTTAGAACAGACACAATTGCAGAAAGGGAAGTTGACAAAAGGAAGTCTTAAGCACAAGGTTTGGAGGCCTTCTACCGTTACTTGTTTATTATGTATTTGTTTGGAATATAGCTCCCGAAACAAATCGTATATCAATTTCCTCTTACCATCTACATGGACAGACCAAAGTGCCAATTTGCTTCAAGCCCAAACTAATGTCTACAGTTATCTACTGAGTTACAAATTTAGAATTGCCTAAATTTTCTTTCCCTATCTCAACCTCCATAAACAATTGAACATACTGAAACGATTGCTTTGAACCCTTTCTCTTCAACTTCTTGCCAAACCAAATGCATTTTAAAATAACCCTTTTCATTCATTTTAAAAGGGATCTACACAGAGATAAAGTCAAAGTAAATCCTGTGAGGAGAATCCCAGAGCCAAAACCAACATGCAAAATAAAAAAAACGGTGGGATTTGGAGGAGGAAAAATGAAAATACAAAAATGGCCCATGCAGGTCTCGAACCTGCGACCTCGCGTTATTAGCAGGACGCTCTAACCAGCTGAGGTAATAGGCCGACGTTTTTATTATCACAAATAGTTTTACATAACTATATCAATATGTTCTTAGCTACTGCTGCTCAAGTTTGCTACTCAAGCGTCTCTGGTTCGTATCCTTTGCACTGCCTTGGTGGTCTCCATACTGTCCGTTTCCAGAATAATCTATGCCACCCAACTCCCATGGGCATAGCAGTCCTATGTAAAATCCCTAAAGCTCAGCTTCTACATCGTGCACGTTCTAAGAAACTTGGAGAATCCTATTAGCTAACCCCCTCATGATCTCTAACCACACTTCCACATGATGCGAGGCCAGATTCCTTTTGTCGAGCTCCGTCCGAGTCACCTTGAGCCACCCATTTGGTGGAGGTTGCCACCGGTTGTTGCCTGTATTCATTCGTTCCATTAAAATGGTTCGAGTTTCGCCCCTAATCAAGGCCTTTCTGATTACCTCCATCCATTGCTTCTTTCCAGTATCGGTCTTTCATCTTCTAAAGGGATGTCAAAAGAAGTCGCATTACGCTGGAGCCAAATGTTCCATATGATTGCGCCAAAAAGGATATCCCAGTTTTCGATCTGACCAACAAACTTCCCTCAGGTTCATTGTTATCCATGCTTTCATTTCCATCTGCAGGAACTCTTGCAAACGATCGCGCTTCACTACTGCACTCCAAATCACTACCGCCGAAAGACAAAGGCGTAGTAAATGGTTAATGTCTTGCATCGGTTCCGCACATAATGGGCGTTTTCTGTCCGAGGCAATATGGTGTCGTTTACGCTCGGCGTTGGTCATCACCCAGTCGCAGCACACCAGCCATAAGAACATTTTCACCTTTTGAAGGCCCCGAAATGCATAAAAAATGCATCATTTTGTTGTGCCAGTCTTCAGAATCCAAGACCGCCACACTTCATCGGCTGACATACGTTTTCCCATTTGACTAGATGCACACCACCTTTGTCTTTCTTGCCACATCAAATGAATTGTTTTATAAGGGATTCGGTTGTTACACTATTCTTTGTGAGAGAGCCGCTGATTGCTTTGTGTAGATAGGAAATGATGCTAAAACAGACTTCGCGAGTGTGATACGCCCAGGGGAGGTGAGTGTTCGCATTTTCCATCCATTTAACCTATCATGTATCATCTGCATAAGATATTGATAAGAAGCTGGTGTAACACGACCATGGACTAGCATTACATCGAGGTATTTTCTAAGATCCGGCACTACTTTATATCGCAGTTCGGTGCTGATTTCTTCACGCAAGATTGGGCTCAAATTCTTAGAGAAAAGTGGTCTTGGACACGCTTACCTTTTTGGCCCGAAGCACTGTAGAATTTTGAAACTATTGAAATAATTATCTCACTTTGTTCGCTAGTAGCTTCGGTAAACAATACCATGTCGTCCGCAAACATCAAATGGGATATTTTGGGTGCTATTTTCGAGGTTTTAAATGGTATCCATCTGTCAACTTCCACTTTGACTTAAATTTTCTTTGTCAATCTCTCCATACAAAGCATAAATAGATAAGGCGAGATCAGATCGCCTTACGGATGTAGCGCAAGGCATAATGATATGTATCAAAGTGTCCGAAATGCTCAAATCCACCAACGTATCTTCAATGAAATCTCATTCTAATCGATCATAAATCTTTTCTAAGTTAATTTTAATCGCATCCAACCCTTTCGACCTATTTCTTTTAATTTGGTGAATTACCTCATGTGTGATTAGGATGTTATCTACTATAGAACGACCTGAAATAAAGCTCATTTGATTTTTTGAGACTCATCGTGGGAGAAAAGCTTTAACCAATTCACTGTAATCTTCGTAATTCTTTTATAAATCAAATTGCATAAGTTCATGGGTCGAAATTGATTAATCAGTTTTTGGAATCTTGAGAATTAACACAAGAAGTGTTTGATTAAGTTCAGAATGCCACTGGTTGTTCTAAAATATCCCACGGATAAAATTACATACCGTTTATCTATTATATGCCATTTCTTTTGGTAGAAAACTGCATGAATTCCATCTATTTCGGGTGATTTTAATGGTGCCATTTCAAAGAAAATTGACTGCATCTCATCATTTGTTAAAGGTAGGCTTAGATCATCAATTTGAGAGACACTTGGAAACAGACCCCTTGGGTAATCAATCTCATTCCTCGTCTCGCTTTGGAATAAATCACGGTAATATCTCACTGCCAAGGCTTTGAGTTCCTCCTTTCCGTGCACCACTCACCATTCTCTGCCTTAAAGGTTGTAATTTTGCTCCGTCTCTTTCTTGTCTTAACGGATGCATGAAAATACCTTGTGTTTTTATAGCCTTGTAGTACCCAGTTCGAACAAATCTTTTGACTCCAAAAACTCTCTTCTTGTTCGAGTACTACGTTCAGCTCAGCTCGTACTTCCGTTTTGAGTTCACATAGAAATTCCGAGTGTTGATATTTTTAAAGCTCGCTCGATCCCACGATTCGAGCTATTAATGTTCGCTTTTTCTTGGCAATGTGACCAAAGACTTCAACATTCCAGATTTTAACTTACGAAATAAATTCATTTAAGTTTGTGTTGAGGTCATATCCCTCCTTCCATATTGATTGCAAGATATCTTGGAATTGGGGGTGGTTGTTCCACTCCATAATATATCTGAAAAGTCGGTCATGCGCAGCTCCACCTTCCACGCTAGTTTGGAATAAAATCGGTCTGGTCTGAACCCAGTCGATCAAGGTGTAGCACATAGGAACTAGGGAACCTGGATCCTAATTTTTCATTAGCTAAGCACCGATCTAATCGTTGGTGGAGGCTTCCCTTGGCCATGTAAACGGTGGTCCTTGGAAACCCATGTCCAGCAATCCAGTTTCAAAAAGAAAGTCTACAAACGCTCTATTGCCCCTTGTTGTTCGTTGGCTTCCAGGCTCCAGCTTTTTCCTTCTCAGCAGAAATAAATACTAATAATAGAATTAAAATCTCCTCTCGCCAACCAAGGCTTATCGCTCCCAGGATCTAGCGATAATAACGACAGCCATAAGTGTTTCCTGATCATTTTAAAGCGGCCATGAACAAATTGGTAGGAGGAAATATAGGAACTGCGAACCAATTGGACTCATACCAGAGTCTCAACATCCTTTCCCCCATTTCCTTTGAATCTTCCATCGAATCATTATCGTTAATGAGACCCACCTCTAGTAGCCGAGTGTCAATTTGCTCTTTCAGTGACGACTCTGGTGTTTCCAATATCCTCAATCCGATGCGGGTAATCCGATCGATCCGATGTGTCATATTAGGGCCATCGGAGCGACCCACTGTAAAAATAGCAGAAATTTTAAAACATTTTATCAGAACATGTAAACTTATAAAATCATTTGCCACTATAAAAAAAATAAAACAGATTTTCAGACTCGTATATAAAACAAAATACAATTACATGCCCCTAATCACATGTACCGTACTCTGCAAACAACGCCGGAAGAACTCCCTTACTGATGTTGATAGCTGCACTGATACAATTCTTTTAACCTGTAATGGTGAGTATAAGTGAACTTCGGAGAGCTCAGTAATACAGAACTACCAGATGATGCTGATGAACGTGCAAATACAGATAAATATATATTTTCTTATTGTTTCCGAACATTTACAGATTTTTATGCTGAGCATAGATCCTACCGATATTTCAGGTGGTAACGGACAATGAGCTTTCGTTTCATAGAAATATTTCGGATGACTGAGTTCAGGAGATCAGAATAAGTTATCTAGTGTGTTCCCGTAAAACCAGTAAAAAGATACAAATCTTTTAAAACATATATATATACCCCATCTCATCACATCAAAATGTGTAGGTTCCCCAGAACCATACACCCAACTCAACACATCATATAAGGCCCTGAGCACAAAGCCGAGGAACCTGCGGAAATACTTCCTTTAACAATACCCTCAATTAAAACATTTTTCCGTCATTAAACGGAGATATCAAAAATCAAAACAGAATTCAGAACATATATCAGAACAGAATCCAAATCATAAATCAGAACAGAATTCAGGTCATATATCAGAACAAAATTCAAGTCAGAAATCAGATAAAATATTTATATGATTAGGGAACACACCAGAGTTTACAGATATTATTCAGAGATATTGGATAATCTTATCGGGTAGAGAGACACAAATCTTCAGTTTACCGATAGAATGTTGGAAGTTAGAAAAACTATTTGAAAATGTTCATTAACTGACAGAATCATCAGTTATTCAGGATATGATTTATCGGGATTATCTTATTTGAACACTTTTCTGAATCTCTACGAAATTTGAAGGTATTCAGAATCTTTACAATCTATAACGATTAATCCGATTATAGAACAACTCCAGATGAATAGCTCTCAGAATCAATACTTACCAACTTGTCATTTCATTAACCTTCCAGGGTATTTACTCTTTAATACCAAATATTCTTATCCACAGATCATCTTCTGAGTCATCACTGAATAAATCTTAAGGAGACAAACAAATATTCTAATGGTCTTTATTTCATTTTCATGTTTCAACTATACCAGGAAATGCTGACGTACTTGATTTATGGTTCATAATCCATAGGGATGATACATCATATAAGTTCATCCGAATTTCCAAACTTATTCCAATCTCTTACTTAATCCTCAGTCTTTGAGGTTACTTAGTTCATTTAGCATTCAAGTCCATTTCAGATACTTCGGGATTTTTCTAGGGTAATCCAGATGTTTCCGAAATTCGTATACATACTGTACTTCCGTTCAATTCAATTTGGTCTTCGAGGTTTATTTAATTCCAATTTATTATCTATTCCAGTCCCTTCGAACAATTCTGATAAAAGAGCACCCTCCGATAAATTGTTCTTTAGGTATTTACTCATAACTCGAATATTTTCGGGTCAAGTGCCTTCTCGGATTTTACAAACGAAAAATCTTGAATTTTTCTTTACAAAGAAAGGATCTTAATAATTAAATTCGTACGTAATCGAGTTAAGTACAAATCCTCAAAGTACTTTCTCCTTCAGGGTCAACTCTGACTATTTTACCTCTCAAGGGCATTTTCGTAATTTCTTAACCAGATAATTTCGATATTAGGTCTTAACGAAAATAATATAATATAGAGATCCTATGATTAATTGCTTCCTCGAACATTCTTTGATCTTGAAATGATTCCTTAAAAGACTTCTAGTAACTAGCATAAACCTTCTTGGGGTTAAAAAAACCGATTATCCATAATTTCCAAGTAAAACTAACATTTCTTATGCACATCAATAGTTTTAGCAGATCCGTAATTCTTTTCAGATTTATTATTCCACTTCCATGGACAATTCTTGTCATTTTCCAACATAAGAGTAATTTCGTAATTTTACCTAATCGAAATATTCTCATAATTTATCATCTAAGTACCTTTAATGAGATAAATTATAATCTACATATCTATGGATGATTCTTTTATCACTTAATTCCAGAACTTGTAATTTAATTCCAACTGTCCTTCAATTTCTTATAATAGTCATCTGAGCCATATTAAGTTACATACTTTCTACCGTATTCGTATCTAGTGTAGATCTTCATTAATTACACATATGAGACCAAACATTTCTATTCATGCATTTACCAATACCAACATGTTCTATAAATCATAAAGAGGTAGTAAAGTATTACCTCAGTTTCCGTGCAATACTGATCGACCAATAAATTCCATTTGAACCCCCTCGATCTTGAATTCAACTTCCAATAATTCCTCAGATACATATCAACATAAATTATATAAAAAACGGAGCTTAATTACGATAAACG